AAAAGAATTTCTATTACGTTTCCAAAAAATTCTGATGACTAAATAGCATATCACTAATATTACTATATTATATCACTTTAATATTCGCGTTAAGAAATTCTTATTACAAATGGAATTAGTTTAATTTTAATCAAAATATACTTGCACATACACACACATATAATTACATAACGTCATTAATCACATTTAACCATCACCATATTTTTACAAAGGGAAAGCTAAATGTCTTGAGATTTTTTCCAATTGTTTGCCCATTGATATTTTGTAATTCCTTTTAATATGTGTAATAGAAATTTCATAAAAGCTTTAAGTAATTTTCTCGTAATATTGCATGCGAAAAGGTGTTTACGAAATTTACGTTAGGTGCTTACAGAACCTTCATTAATTACCGAAGTACGATAATTACGGTCGAAATTCACGGTGAGATGATATACGCTAAAACACATGCTTTCGTTGGTACCTGCTAGTTCGATATGCATGGGAATATACCGGCATGTGGTTTTGTCACAGCCATATGGCGCGGCCGTGAACGCACGTGCGAGAGAGACTCGAAAGACGCGTATATTCTACTATATAGGACGCTATTATCTCATACTCTTTCCGCACAACGGAAGAAACGTTCAAACGGCAGGTATACTGGTAAGCCGTCATAATATACGTTGACAGCTATAACGAAATTGATCGATAATTTAATAATTAAAATATTTTAATACTCTAAAAAGAACTACATTATCTTGAAAGCATTAATTTTTAAATATTATCTGCAATAATATGATTTATTTTATTTTAAATTGAGATAAATAACTTAATATCCGCGTGAAAGTTATTCACGTCCTCATTTTTTTAACAACCGTAAAATCATTAATTTACTATTTCCGCTTTGTCAAACGTAATTTATGAAAATTTGTATGTTTCTAATGAGGTATTCATCATAAATTTATCTGGTTACGAACTGACAGTTGAAGTGACGTAATGTACTCTTGCATACGTAAAAGTAATTATTCGTCTGTTAATACGGTAGTAAATAGATTTTGCAATAATACATTGTGTGTCCTCGAAACCGGTTATTATCAACGTCACGTCACATGCCATAACTTGTGCCGAACGAGTATTTTGAACTCGTTTGTACATAGTCGCCTATAATTTGTAAGTGAATACACTTAGTTCGACAATATCTTCGTTACGCTTCTTAAAATTCGCATGTGGATATAATCGTTAAAATATTGTTATTATTATGAAAATGTAGTAACAGGATACTCTGAGTAAACATATCGACACGGTAAAATTTAAACTTCTATCAGAGTTTGAAAATATTAAAAAGTTTATGCTTTTAAAAATTCTTTTCGTTAAAAGAACGTATTTTCATCGAATTTATCGATATCGCGGTCAAAGAGCACTGTGAAAACACATATAATCCGATATTTTTAAAATAAAAAAAATGTTAGTCATATCATATTATTTCGATTTTCGAATGCTTTAAAAGCTTTCAGAATTGTTGAGAATTGTGTAATTAACCTTTTATACTTGTATATATTTTATATTATATTTATATATATTTTTTACTTTTACGCTTGTATGCTTTGTATTCTAATCAATTGCAAACATTATGTATAATATATAGTTACTGATAAATAAATGTAATTCGCTTTAATTCGTGAATGTCTTATTTCTAATTGGATTAATTTATTATACTAAAAAGAAATTATTTTCTAATACTGATGTTAATCATTCTTCTTGTAATTTTTCTTCAGTTTGTAATATTGCGACATGCCAGTCGGATATTAAAGGTCCAGTGATTCGCACGACGAGTAAAGGGTGCTAATATAAAAGGGTGCTACCGGAATAGCAATGGCCTATGTCACCGTATAGTCGCAGTTGCAGGTTTCATGGAAGATGTTGGGAGTCGCCCTTCGATCGCGAGACACAAGTGCGCCTACCGTTTGTTACTCTTTACACCTGTGCTCACATATAACGCCCTGGGTATTCCGAGTGTGCGTGCACCACGACGTTTTGTGAAACTCTTGTACGCGCGTAAGTGCGAGTGTGCATAATGTGAAGAAAAAAAAAATTCGACCAAAATAGTCGCAGCTGTGCGACGCGCGATTGCGGCTCACGACCTTTTTCACGGCGACCGCGGAGATTTCTACTGCACGCAGAAATAAGGGACAAGGCCACGATCACAACGTGTGCTAAAATAATGATATCATTCGCTCCGCAATATACGTATTCGGTGTCAAGCTGAAGCGAGTAAAAAGGACAAGATATTTAATTTTATCGACCAAAGTTATTCTTTGTTAAACGCGTTTAGCGGAAATAAAAATTCCCACATTTATATTTCGCTCTTTTTGAACAAACACTTAAGAAGAACGTGATTTTTATTTCTTGGCATAAGAAGATAACTTCGAGTTACTTAAATAACTTCTTATATTTTTGTGTTAAAGGAACGCTCTTCGTTAAATTACAAAGGAAATAAAATGACTGGAGAAAATACTGTACTTAAATCTATGTTTTTTTAATCTCTTTTTCTTTATTATATTCTTGTCACGTCCTTAGTGCAAATTATATACAGATAATATTATAATAAAATTATAAATTATTGGTATTTTTAATATTACCAGTCGCTCCTTTAAAACTCCTTAAATTTCTTTTAAATCAGAGTTTAGATTCTTTTCAGATTCGATGTGGTTGCACCCTCATTAAATGTAGAAAATCTTGAGAATAAATTTTCTGCATTTAATATCGTGTTTAGCTTTCAAATTGGGAAATACAGGAGGACGTAGGAGAGCAAAGGCAGATGTTGCATCTCTTTCGTCATTTTCGTCGCGCGCCCTTAAACGCGGAAAGTAAATCCACGTATCGCAGCTGCTTGGGTACACGTCATTGAGAACTTTAGTTCCGTTATATGCTAGAATCCACATCTTGTTTAATTAAAACTTCAGCTATGTGCAACTTGGTTAAAGCTCTAATTACGTAATAATGTAATTCCTGTATTAAATACGTCAGTTCTAAATTGTGTCAGTATTAAATAATCTTGACTAAATTAATAGCTCTTTCATTTTTTACCAATAATTAATTTGTTAAATCGTTCATATCAGATTATTATTTAATGAGTTGTTTTTTTATGTCTTCTGTTACTTCTATATTGAAATATCGATCGGTAAACTCGTTGAATTTATATAAATTGCTAATACGTTTTTCTATTCCGTGGGAATTGCTCTACATTTCCCATCAGAACTTGTATAACAAGAAAGATTTATCAAAAAATATTCAATTGCCTCGACAAAAGGAAATGAAATAATTTTTTATTATTTTTCATCAGATTTTCGTATCCCAAAGGGAAACAGATTCTATTCGACGAGAGAGCTGTCGGAAAGACGCGTTGGTCTCCGTGGTGAATTTCTCTCGGTCTCAGCAGATGTACGAGCATTTGCCTCGGCAGCTGCTTCACTCACCGCCGTAAACTTCGGATATCCACCCTGGCTTTTCGTTTCGAGTTGACCTAAACTCTCCATCATCGTCTCGGTAACTTAACGTCGATCTGCAAAATCGCAACAGCAATCTCCAGATTGCCAGCGTTGATGTAAATTTCTCCGATACAGCTCAGGAGTCGAGCCCAAGTTATCCTCTCCGAAGATGTAATCACGTGAAAAACCGGTTTTGCTTCGTCGATTTAACTTGGAGCGGAAGCTGATGATCGGGGTACTCTAGAGTCTAACTATATCCCTGAGACTCGTAAGGTAGGGAGAAGGAAGCAACTTGGGTCCTACTCGGGGCCAAGGCATTCACGTTAGAGGAAAGAGGAGGGATCGATTTTTATTTGGCTTGCTTCAAGTGAGAGGGATCTGTTTTCCTATATACGTTCCTGAAAATTTATAAAATATATGTACATGTAATGTACATATATTATTTACATACATTTGTATACGTACATTTGTGTATTTATCCACATAAAAAAGAACATTTATTTAATAAACGATATCATAAAATTTTTTAATTAAATTTAACTTTAATTTATCTTTGTAAAAGTTAAATTAAATTTTAACTTTTTGTTATCTAGAACAAAAAATAAAAAGCATATCTACATACATAACAAAAAATTAATCAAAGTTAAACATAAATATAAATTAAAATTGAATATCGTGTATATTTATATATATATTTATACACTTTTTATTTTAAAATTGAAGAATTTTATTATTTGAAAAAATGTATATTGACGAATAAAAGAGACTCTAAAAGACTCTAAAAGAATATAGAATATCTATCAAGAAAAATCTGGAACAGAAACTTAAGTTTAAACTTATAAAAATGGAGTATATAAATTAAATTAAAAACTAAAATACGTTTAATAAATTTTATTATAGTAATATTATGCAAGAGCATTTTATCTAAAGCAAATAATAAAGAAGATAAGCGCTACAATAAATTGTCTTTGAAAGAGGGGCCTAACAGATCTATTGTCTGTCCCTGACGAACGACAGAGTGGGATTGAGCGAACCTGGGTCTGTGAGACCCTCGGCATTCGCGTCTAGAGTCTCTCAGGGGGGGTTGTCGTATATCCGCTGCTCAGACTCGTTTGTGCCCGGGAGTATACCTTCAAGCAAACTCTTCTTGTCGATACCGTTTGGTGAAAGTCTCGCAACGTTGCGTCGCGTCGTTTTCTACAGCAAAAGTGAAACGGCGCGACGGTATATCCTTTCTAAATTTGAATTTCATTGATAAGTGCTCACCACGCTGCGCGTCCTCCATGAAGTTGTTGTATTGTTGAATCATCTACCTGTGTTGCTTGTGAATCCAGATGGCGCGTTCATCAGATCATGAAAACGTTGGGCTTGCATTCGAAAGCCGTGGTACCGTCATCGCCCGTTGGATTACCTGACAACTCTTTTTTCTGTATATTCCCAATAAGTCGAACGGTTTTTTTTTATTACATAAACGTGAATATCTTCACTGATCTTTTAACCGTTTCCTCGTCGACGAGGAAAACTGAAGAACTTTATTGTATTGCGCGATCGCACATTTTTATCCGCTTGATTGCATAAATCTTGCCTCGAGTGGAAATATAAGTGATGGATGATTTTTCCGAAAGTGGTTCACGGGAGTGTTGTCAAACTTCTGGGCGCTTCAACTGGATGCGCGAGAGATTAAACGTACTTTTGAGTTCCGGTGGGGTCGCCGGAAGTAGCTGAGCGTGACGGCGACGGTGCTAACGGAAAAACGTGGGAACTTGCGTCGCGTAGCCGCGCTTCGCCGCTGCTCCATTAGTTAACGCACGCTAATCGCGACCTCGAGGATATAATCACATTATACTCTTTGCGACAAGTGTTCTTTTATCGCGGGAAAATTTTTAAATTTCCAAACTGATATCGCGTGTGAATTTCTCGTGTTGACGATAAATAGAGACAATTGCGTCAAGTAAAACGTATAAAAAAAAGAGGCAATAATGAATGAAAGAGCTCAACTTGTTTATGCTTCTCGGATGTCAAATGCATTAATTGCCTCGTCGGAAGCGTTGCGCTCAACGGCTAATTAGATGGGTGGGAAAATATTGCACCGACTAAATTACGGAAATTCACAGGAGAACTAGTTTGTAAAATATATGGACCCAAAGTCTTTTTCGCCTGTGATTAATTGGTGCATTAAAGCAGCGCGTGAAGTTAGTTTAATTGATTGTACGTATAATATCCCCGAGTGAAGTGCTCCGAGAGAAAAGGTCCACCCATAGAACGTACAGAATACCAGATTCGAAAGTTGAAACGGAGCTAGTTCTAGTCTCTAGTATATACCCCTGTCCGTCCGACATTTACACAGTTGAATAATTTGTAACGAGATTCGTGTGTGAAATTTGCGCCAAAAGTAATATTCTTGGCGACGAGGCTGTAATATTTTGTGAGAAAACGACGAAAAGAAGGAAAAATGAAAAGCGAGACCAGTTAGAGAGCAAGAAAAATACGATTGAAATTTGCGATGCGCTTTGCAGCGACGGACGTATTGAGGACACGGGCAGTCATCGTTTAAAAATAACAGAAAGAGATCGTAAGACATCATCACGTAAGTGTCGGCAGAGCCGACTGCATTGTGCTGCAGCAGAATACGTGCAGTTTCGCCACTGTTATCCGCGAGGTGTTCGCGACGTCTACAACCAGCGGGCTGAGAGGAGAGAGAGTGAGGAGAGACTTGGAGAGTGGAAAGACTTGGGCCGCGAGACCAGAAACGGAGAGAGAGACTGATCGGAATCCCACTCTTCTAGGTGGAATCTCTGACGTCAGCCTGGAGCAAGTCGTATGACCAGTTCGGGACGCTTGCTGGTAAAAAGAGACGAGTGAAAAGAAGAAGAGGAGGAAGAGTAGGAGAAAGAGGAGAAGGCAACAGCCTCTCCTCTCTCACGTCTATCTGGCTACGTTTTTACCGGCCGGCTCTCGGGAGCATCTCGCGGCCGCCATGTCCTCCACGCATCGCGACATCCATCACCAGTAGTAGCGTTTGCCCCTACCTCTCTTTTTCTCTCTCTCTCTCTCTCCTTCTCTCTCTCTTTCTCCCTCCGTCTTTTAGCGGCATCCATTCAGTGGCCGGACTAAAATTACCCTGCTGGTCGGTTACGATCTACGCGTGAGCGAAGTGCTGAGCTCCAGCGCGGAGCGTTTCGGAGCAGGCTGCGGCCTGTGAGGTGTACCTGATGCACGAACGATTGATGGATACAAGTGTGTGAACGGATGCTGCGTGAGACCAGGCCAATCTCGATTTCGCGACAGGATAGCGCTTGACTCCGCTGGTACCTTCGTTGTTCTTGGTGGGAAGTGGTCTGTGGAATGTCATTCGAAAGGGTTCATGAATAATCTAAAAAGAATTCAGAGTCCACATCGTAATAAAGTGGAAGAAGTCATTTGCTGACAAATTGAAACACAACGATACAGGTACACGTAGTGCTTCTGGCGGATCTTTCAACATTTCAATGAGTGTTTGCGTATGCTCGAAAAGAAACCTCGTCAATTTTCTCTCTCTTATCCTGTGACACAAGAAGATAAGTGCGCGACGTAAGGGTCACACCTGTGTCGCTGAGTGTGGATGTCATTAGACATCAGTGACATTGCGTATGGTGCGTGAAAGGATACGTGGAACTGCCGACGATTCATTGTATTTGGATATTTGACGCGAGAGGTACTGCTCATCGTGAAAACATCGCCATCCGAGAGAAATGGGAAACCACCCGTCCGCCCACCAGCCACTCGAGAGGGCTACCAGTCATGCTGGAAATGGTCTTCGCCTCTCGGTACGTTACGGTGTTGTTTTTACATCAAATGTAACGTTTACGATTACTTACGCGCGCTCTATATTGTCTCCGGTATCTGATATGAGACGAAACTGTCACTCGCGCGTACGCGCGTGACAGTTGTAACCATACGGTATTGTTCAGGATGTTTAGCTTCAGTATATCAATGGTAATATCCATTGACGACATTCCTGTTAGCGTCAGCATTTATTTTCTCAAAACTTATAAATATAGAATTATTTTAAATCGAATACATTAAAGAAAAAGGGACGAAAAAAAAATTTTAATTTTTAATTCAATTGAAGCGGTGTGCGTTTCAGTAAATATTTTAATACATATTTTATTTAAACCCATTTTGCTTTATTAAAATAATTTAATTGCAAAGGCAAGGCAAAATTTGTAAGAATAATTTTCTATCAGACTTTTTTGTTCGTGCTAAAATTTTTACATACTTATAATAATCATATCAACGATGTTATGATAACACAAAATCCATCATGAGAAAGAGAGGAGAGAGGAAGAGGAAAGAGGGGGGGAGAGAGAGAGAGAGAGAGAGAGAGAGAGAGAGAGAAAAGAGAGAGTGTTAACATAAATCCTAAATCGCATGTCATGGCGTGACCATCAACGTTTTACCTCTTAAACGTTTTGCGAAACGTTTTGTACACGAAGGGACGGTTTATTCCACGCTTCATAAAGTCCGAGATTTGCAGCCGTCGGAAATGACGGTTTGCCCTTCTTATGACTTCCATTTTTCACCCTCAGCCGCACCCCTCATGCATTCTTATTTCTCATTTCATCCTCTCGCAATTTTCTACTTATAGTCACTTTCACAATTATTCACATATTTTCTAGATATTAAAAATGCTTCATCCTCCTTTATTCTGAATCTTCTGAATTCTATCGTTCTATTAAAATATGCTTTTGTCTCGTTATGACTTAACATTTACATCCAATGTTTATATCCAAGTCATTATATATCCAAAGCTTAAAAAAGAAAAAATAATACTTAGACATTCTTTTTATTAAGAAATATACCTATATAAACAAATACATAAATCACTGTAATTTATCTTCGATGAAGAGTTACGTTATAATCTGATAGAACTTTGACACTACTTCATCGTGAAAAACTTTGTTTACCAGATATGGAAATATTTTTACAAAGAAAAAGAATGAATAAAAAAGTTTAAATACTTTTCTCTTTTACTTTGCATATAACAGTAAAATTACATTATTTTGTTTATAAATTAAATGAGAATAGTTTTTTTTTAGAAAATTAAGTATTATCTATGAATATAACTTGTTCCGCATAGGTATACAACTTTTATGAACACGCTAAAAATGTATGCGAATAAATGGGGATGGAATAAAATCGATATACACTCTCGTTTCTAAAAATCACTGACTGTGCACCTCAGGTATTTCTGTAACGAGGAATTTCATTAATGTGGACGCATGATGTCAATCACATTGGTCACAGCATGACTAATGTATTATTTGCGTTGCGCTGGACTTTTGGTGTCATCACGAACATTACGACGGTTCGTGAGAATTCAATTTCCGTGACAATCAGGTATTCCCAGGCGCACGGAGAGATCTTTGCACGACGTAAATCCTTGGTTCCTATCGCACTAAGACTATCAATGCGCGTCACGCGAATTATGTAAGCTCACTACTGCATTTGCGGATCCCTATTTCGTAGATGGAATGACGCACTTCATGCGTGACGGTTTCAACAGCGAAAATGACGATACAACGAGGTGCGGTTGGCGCTCACGTTTCAATGACCTTTGCTTGCAAGCACGTGTTCGAACCGACGCGGACGTTTCGTCCATTGCCGTAAATGCGGCATTCAATTTATAATTGCGAGAAACTACATCTGTGTCATATGCTGAATATTGTGCAGAATATTGAAAACTAAATTTTGAAGTATAATTTATTTAAAATAATGTTAGAAAATAATTTATTTGAAATATTAGGAATAACTACACGCCTTTTTATAAAATAATGAAAATAAAATAAAATAAAATAGTAAGAGAATTAATATAGAACTCAATAGGTTTTGGATTTAATAGAGCTTAATCTTTTGAAATAGATTAATAAGAAAAAATTATAATTTTTAATTCAATTAGTTCTCTGATATTCATTACAATCTTTATGCTGATCATTTTTTTGAATAACAACGCTTTTTTATAATAACAAATATCATATATGCCTATATAAATTATCTATATGTGCTTTAAGAAGAAAACGAATTACATATTTAAATAATATATATTAAATGAATTTAGTTTATTAACCAGTATTTTAACAATAGTTTACTACATTTTTCCTTGCTGTTGTTCTATAAAAATGTATTTAATTAATATATAAATGTGTAATCTGTCTGTTCTTAAAGCGTATATAAGTGTTTTTAAAATTTTAAACACATTAATATAATAATTATCTTGGAAACATTATCAACTATGTAAGTTTAATAAATTTAATAAATACGCAATATTTTATTACACGCATAATAAAAATTGAGCCTATTTAATTCTATGGTTATGTTAAAATCGGTAAAAGAATTCCATATAAGTCGTATCTTATTTTCAAGCTGCAAAAGTAATGTTTTATTCGTGAAACAAATAAAACATTAGTTTTGCATTTTATGAAGTTGTAGAGAGAATATTATATTTCCGTTGCTTTGATACAATAGCTTTGAGATATGATACAACGCGCGAAGCGAAAAAATTTATTCTCAAACGGTATGCATATATAGAAGAAAGCCGGCAAAATTTCTTCTAGGGGGTGAAAAAGCACCGGATTTGTTTTGTAAAAGCAAGCGGCGTTTATCGCGGAATGAACAAACAAGCGCTAGGTTTTCGAGGTGAATTTGACGAGACGCTCATTTCCTTTGATGAAAAAGCTTTTGCCCTGCTACCTCGTTGATATTTAATCCCTAGAAGGCAAGTGAAATAGTTTAGAGCTCGGGAGAGATGGATGGTTATAGGAATGGCTGGATGTTGCACTCCCTCGAATTCATCGTGCGGTATAATTACATGATGTTCGTTACGCGTTTTAATTACGGGGAATTAGTAGATTACGTCGAGACTGCGAAAATTTTGTTTCTGCCAGGTGGACTCGCGATATTCGATTTAATGTCGCGACATCAAATTTAATTTAATGGCTCGTTTCCTATTTTCGTTCTTTCACATTTATTCAACACCTCGATATACAAGCAAATCAATGTTCGCGGAATATATCTCGAAACCGGAATGAGCAAAATCATCGTGGCTTAGCAGTTGTAATAGAAAAAACACTGTAACGAATTCAGCTACGAGGCCTGTGCAAACACGTAACAATTATGCATACGCGAATACTTATTTTTCCATTATATGCATAATGAAACGGACTTTTAAAACGTTTATTAATTAATTCTTGGGTAATTACGTTAGAGCCGGCGAAAACATTTTAAAATGATAAAGAGTGATAGTAAAAATTAAAATAGTAATAACCGTTCTAGCTTAAACGTGCTGTAAAAATGCTTTAATATACTTTTTTCATTGTCCGCAAGATTAATGTCATCTACGCGCTATATTTTAAGCTACACGAAATTATCTGACGATCTAATTACAGAAGTACACAATATTGCGTTTAACGAGATTGGAGATTCGACAAGATGTAAAGCCAGTATTTTTGGCTAATTTATCTCAAGGAAGAGGACAGTAGCACGCAAATTACGGAGATGCCGACCGGCCGCCGCGGCCGACCAGTGTATCGCGATTACATTCGAATCGCGTTTTACGCACGGCCAACACACATAAATCTAATCGCGCACGCATGAATCCACACTCGTATGCGTGCACACGCCCGCGGTCACGCACACTCGCGGCCCAATCGAATCGAGGGGATCGAACTCAAGGATAACTGGTGCTGCATGCAGCGCTCGCCTCGCGACGATTAAAGCGAAAGAGATTCAGAAGTTGCTAAGCCGTTCAAAACTTACAGTCGATTACTTGCACATGAATGAGCTTTTTTACGATTAGACACTGCAATCAATAAAAAAAAGTTCGATTTTTATTTCTAAAGAGTTTAGAAGAAAATAATTCAGTGTGTAATTTTTTTTCTGTTCATAATATTCAACATAATCTTGCTGTTCTGCTCATTGAAAGTGCTTGAAAAATATAGATATAAAATTTATTTCTTTTTATTTTCGAATTTTCTGTGTTTTCAAATTCGGAGAACAGAGAGAGAGAGACAGAGAGAAAACTTTATAGTAGATATGGAAATATGTACATCTTAATGTATATTAAAATTATATTATATCTAATAGAGATTAGACATTTAAGAAAAAGTCTCTGCATTCTTCATCTTTTTATTTTTTCAATGCCAAATAAAATGCGTTCACTTATTCTCTTTCTCAATCCTTTAATATGTTAATCAATCTGCAGGATCTGCAGCATATAATATCTAATTGTACCTCGATTCGAAGACAGTCGATTGCGCAGGTTGAAAAACCACACGTTGCATTCCTGTACTTGGTATTTCCATGTTGTACGGCGACAACACGCCACGTCGTTTCGCGTGAAAGCCTACTCGTTGCACTTTTCTGCGTACGCTGCGTATCCGCCTCCGTTATTGTACGCGTAGACACCTGCCACGGTGAAAGGACTCAAAGTAGATTTATACGAGATGCGTGAACTAGGTGTATCCAACGCCTGGTATTATTCCACACGGCTTATTTCTCTGTACTCTTCATCGAACGTTCGACTATTCTTTATATACGTATGCATTATCCAAAGGTGTCTTCGGGGAGTATGGATCCATGCACTTTCCATGCGCCATCTTTTCTACGAGCTTTCTTGACGTTATTTAACGTGAGATATAGCCCCCTCGCGCGAATACTTTGTAATCCTGATTCCAGCTATTCATCACGTCGAACAATGCGGCTCTCATAATCGGGTTACCTTTGGTCGCATGTTAACTTCAAATGTTTCTTGGCTAAGTTCTATCTGTAC